AAAAAGGCATTTTAAGGCCTTTAAACGCTTCTAACGCCTAAAAAACGCATTTTAATTTTCGGTGGTCTAAAAAGGCATTTTAAGGCCTTTAAACGCTTCTAACGCCTAAAAAACGCATTTTAATTTTCGGTGGTCTAAAAAGGCATTTTAAGGCCTTTAAACGCTTCTAACGCCTAAAAAACGCATTTTAATTTTCGGTGGTCTAAAAAGGCATTTTAAGGCCTTTAAACGCTTCTAACGCCTAAAAAACGCATTTTAATTTTCGCTGGTCTAAAAAGGCATTTTAAGGCCTTTAAACGCTTCTAACGCCTAAAAAACGCATTTTAATTTTCGGTGGTCTAAAAAGGCATTTTAAGGCCTTTAAACGCTTCTAACGCCTAAAAAACGCATTTTAATTTTCGGTGGTCTAAAAAGGCATTTTAAGGCCTTTAAACGCTTCTAACGCCTAAAAAACGCATTTTAATTTTCGCTTCTAACGCCTAAAAAACGCATTTTAATTCTAAAAAGGCATTTTAAGGCCTTTAAACGCTTCTAACGCCTAAAAAACGCATTTTAATTTTCGGTGGTCTAAAAAGGCATTTTAAGGCCTTTAAACGCTTCTAACGCCTAAAAAACGCATTTTAATTTTCGGTGGTCTAAAAAGGCATTTTAAGGCCTTTAAACGCTTCTAACGCCTAAAAAACGCATTTTAATTTTCGGTGGTCTAAAAAGGCATTTTAAGGCCTTTAAACGCTTCTAACGCCTAAAAAACGCATTTTAATTTTCGGTGGTCTAAAAAGGCATTTTAAGGCCTTTAAACGCTTCTAACGCCTAAAAAACGCATTTTAATTTTCGGTGGTCTAAAAAGGCATTTTAAGGCCTTTAAACGCTTCTAACGCCTAAAAAACGCATTTTAATTTTCGGTGGTCTAAAAAGGCATTTTAAGGCCTTTAAACGCTTCTAACGCCTAAAAAACGCATTTTAATTTTCGGTGGTCTAAAAAGGCATTTTAAGGCCTTTAAACGCTTCTAACGCCTAAAAAACGCATTTTAATTTTCGGTGGTTTAAAAAGGCATTTTAAGGCCTTTAAACGCTTCTAACGCCTAAAAAACGCATTTTAATTTTCGGTGGTCTAAAAAGGCATTTTAAGGCCTTTAAACGCTTCTAACGCCTAAAAAACGCATTTTAATTTTCGGTGGTCTAAAAAGGCATTTTAAGGCCTTTAAACGCTTCTAACGCCTAAAAAACGCATTTTAATTTTCGGTGGTCTAAAAAGGCATTTTAAGGCCTTTAAACGCTTCTAACGCCTAAAAAACGCATTTTAATTTTCGGTGGTCTAAAAAGGCATTTTAAGGCCTTTAAACGCTTCTAACGCCTAAAAAACGCATTTTAATTTTCGGTGGTCTAAAAAGGCATTTTAAGGCCTTTAAACGCTTCTAACGCCTAAAAAACGCATTTTAATTTTCGGTGGTCTAAAAAGGCATTTTAAGGCCTTTAAACGCTTCTAACGCCTAAAAAACGCATTTTAATTTTCGGTGGTCTAAAAAGGCATTTTAAGGCCTTTAAACGCTTCTAACGCCTAAAAAACGCATTTTAATTTTCGGTGGTCTAAAAAGGCATTTTAAGGCCTTTAAACGCTTCTAACGCCTAAAAAACGCATTTTAATTTTCGGTGGTCTAAAAAGGCATTTTAAGGCCTTTAAACGCTTCTAACGCCTAAAAAACGCATTTTAATTTTCGGTGGTCTAAAAAGGCATTTTAAGGCCTTTAAACGCTTCTAACGCCTAAAAAACGCATTTTAATTTTCGGTGGTCTAAAAAGGCATTTTAAGGCCTTTAAACGCTTCTAACGCCTAAAAAACGCATTTTAATTTTCGGTGGTCTAAAAAGGCATTTTAAGGCCTTTAAACGCTTCTAACGCCTAAAAAACGCATTTTAATTTTCGGTGGTCTAAAAAGGCATTTTAAGGCCTTTAAACGCTTCTAACGCCTAAAAAACGCATTTTAATTTTCGGTGGTCTAAAAAGGCATTTTAAGGCCTTTAAACGCTTCTAACGCCTAAAAAACGCATTTTAATTTTCGGTGGTCTAAAAAGGCATTTTAAGGCCTTTAAACGCTTCTAACGCCTAAAAAACGCATTTTAATTTTCGGTGGTCTAAAAAGGCATTTTAAGGCCTTTAAACGCTTCTAACGCCTAGAAAACGCATTTTAATTTTCGGTGGTCTAAAAATGCATTTTAAGGCGTTTAAACGCTTCTAACGCCTAAAAAACGCATTTTAATTTTCCGTGGTCTAACGGCTAAAAAACGCATTTTAATTTTCGGTGGTCTAAAAATGCATTTTAAGGCCTTTAAACGCTTCTAACGCCTAAAAAACGCATTTTAATTTTCGGTGGTCTAAAAAGGCATTTTAAGGCCTTTAAACGCTTCTAACGCCTAAAAAACGCATTTTAATTTTCGGTGGTCTAAAAAGGCATTTTAAGGCCTTTAAACGCTTCTAACGCCTAAAAAACGCATTTTAATTTTCGGTGGTCTAAAAAGGCATTTTAAGGCCTTTAAACGCTTCTAACGCCTAAAAAACGCATTTTAATTTTCGGTGGTCTAAAAAGGCATTTTAAGGCCTTTAAACGCTTCTAACGCCTAAAAAACGCATTTTAATTTTCGGTGGTCTAAAAAGGCATTTTAAGGCCTTTAAACGCTTCTAACGCCTAAAAAACGCATTTTAATTTTCGGTGGTCTAAAAAGGCATTTTAAGGCCTTTAAACGCTTCTAACGCCTAAAAAACGCATTTTAATTTTCGGTGGTCTAAAAAGGCATTTTAAGGCCTTTAAACGCTTCTAACGCCTAAAAAACGCATTTTAATTTTCGGTGGTCTAAAAAGGCATTTTAAGGCCTTTAAACGCTTCTAACGCCTAAAAAACGCATTTTAATTTTCGGTGGTCTAAAAAGGCATTTTAAGGCCTTTAAACGCTTCTAACGCCTAAAAAACGCATTTTAATTTTCGGTGGTCTAAAAAGGCATTTTAAGGCCTTTAAACGCTTCTAACGCCTAAAAAACGCATTTTAATTTTCGGTGGTCTAAAAAGGCATTTTAAGGCCTTTAAACGCTTCTAACGCCTAAAAAACGCATTTTAATTTTCGGTGGTCTAAAAAGGCATTTTAAGGCCTTTAAACGCTTCTAACGCCTAAAAAACGCATTTTAATTTTCGGTGGTCTAAAAAGGCATTTTAAGGCCTTTAAACGCTTCTAACGCCTAAAAAACGCATTTTAATTTTCGGTGGTCTAAAAAGGCATTTTAAGGCCTTTAAACGCTTCTAACGCCTAAAAAACGCATTTTAATTTTCGGTGGTCTAAAAAGGCATTTTAAGGCCTTTAAACGCTTCTAACGCCTAAAAAACGCATTTTAATTTTCGGTGGTCTAAAAAGGCATTTTAAGGCCTTTAAACGCTTCTAACGCCTAAAAAACGCATTTTAATTTTCGGTGGTCTAAAAAGGCATTTTAAGGCCTTTAAACGCTTCTAACGCCTAAAAAACGCATTTTAATTTTCGGTGGTCTAAAAAGGCATTTTAAGGCCTTTAAACGCTTCTAACGCCTAAAAAACGCATTTTAATTTTCGGTGGTCTAAAAAGGCATTTTAAGGCCTTTAAACGCTTCTAACGCCTAAAAAACGCATTTTAATTTTCGGTGGTCTAAAAAGGCATTTTAAGGCCTTTAAACGCTTCTAACGCCTAAAAAACGCATTTTAATTTTCGGTGGTCTAAAAAGGCATTTTAAGGCCTTTAAACGCTTCTAACGCCTAAAAAACGCATTTTAATTTTCGGTGGTCTAAAAAGGCATTTTAAGGCCTTTAAACGCTTCTAACGCCTAAAAAACGCATTTTAATTTTCGGTGGTCTAAAAAGGCATTTTAAGGCCTTTAAACGCTTCTAACGCCTAAAAAACGCATTTTAATTTTCGGTGGTCTAAAAAGGCATTTTAAGGCCTTTAAACGCTTCTAACGCCTAAAAAACGCATTTTAATTTTCGGTGGTCTAAAAAGGCATTTTAAGGCCTTTAAACGCTTCTAACGCCTAAAAAACGCATTTTAATTTTCGGTGGTCTAAAAAGGCATTTTAAGGCCTTTAAACGCTTCTAACGCCTAAAAAACGCATTTTAATTTTCGGTGGTCTAAAAAGGCATTTTAAGGCCTTTAAACGCTTCTAACGCCTAAAAAACGCATTTTAATTTTCGGTGGTCTAAAAAGGCATTTTAAGGCCTTTAAACGCTTCTAACGCCTAAAAAACGCATTTTAATTTTCGGTGGTCTAAAAAGGCATTTTAAGGCCTTTAAACGCTTCTAACGCCTAAAAAACGCATTTTAATTTTCGGTGGTCTAAAAAGGCATTTTAAGGCCTTTAAACGCTTCTAACGCCTAAAAAACGCATTTTAATTTTCGGTGGTCTAAAAAGGCATTTTAAGGCCTTTAAACGCTTCTAACGCCTAAAAAACGCATTTTAATTTTCGGTGGTCTAAAAAGGCATTTTAAGGCCTTTAAACGCTTCTAACGCCTAAAAAACGCATTTTAATTTTCGGTGGTCTAAAAAGGCATTTTAAGGCCTTTAAACGCTTCTAACGCCTAAAAAACGCATTTTAATTTTCGGTGGTCTAAAAAGGCATTTTAAGGCCTTTAAACGCTTCTAACGCCTAAAAAACGCATTTTAATTTTCGGTGGTCTAAAAAGGCATTTTAAGGCCTTTAAACGCTTCTAACGCCTAAAAAACGCATTTTAATTTTCGGTGGTCTAAAAAGGCATTTTAAGGCCTTTAAACGTGGTCTAAAAAGGCATTTTAAGGCCTTTAAACGCTTCTAACGCCTAAAAAACGCATTTTAATTTTCGGTGGTATAGAAAAGCATTTTAAGGCCTTTAAACGCTTCTAACGCCTAAAAAACGCATTTTAATTTTCGGTGGTATAAAAAGGCATTTTAAGGCCTTTAAACGCTTCTAACGCCTAAAAAACGCATTTTAATTTTCGGTGGTCTAAAAGTGGAAGAGTTACAGGAAATGTTGCAGGAAATCGATGTTGATGGTAAGTACACATGAATAAGTTTCATTTATTTCGGAAATTAAGCAGGAAAAAAATCTGATGTAAAAAAATTGGTATATAGAAATAGGAAGTGCTTTATTATGGTATACTGGAAAATAAATAATAGAAGGTATAATATATATCGATATCGCGGTGGAGATCTGAAGAACATTACCTGGAATTGATGGGCAGATCCTAAGGGTAGAAATTATGAGTAAATGGTAGTCGATGTGAAAACGAATATCGAAATTTTTAAATTGGCGTATAAGTAACGTCAATATATATATATATATATATATACGCTCTAAAGTACCACATATATTTGTGACAGATTTCTTGTCGTGCTTTAGAGCGTATACATATTGTCGTTAGTTATACGTCAATGCTTCTTTGTTAAAAAGAAACAAATCTTTCTGTTGTTCAAATTTTTGACCAAGTTCGAAAAAGAATGAAAAAGAAAATCTGTCCTGGGATAAGTGGATAAGTAGCGTCAGTACGTACATATACGCTCTAAAGCACCACATATTTCATTGACTGATTTATGTGGTTCTTTAGAGCGTATACATAGTGACGATACTTATACGCCAGTCCATAATTTAAATTTATTTTATTTATTTACATTTTTCTTTATTATTTTTTTTCTCTTCTTCTCCTTTAGGTGATGGTAATGTCAGCTTCGAAGAATTTGTGGACATACTTTCGAATATGGCATATGAAGACAAATCTGGTCTTTCGTCGGCCGATCAAGAAGAACGTGAATTGCGTGATGCCTTTCGTGTCTTCGATAAGCATAATCGGGGCTATATAACAGCATCAGATTTGAGGGCAGTACTGCAATGTTTGGGCGAGGATTTGGATGAGGAAGAAAGTGAGTAATAAAATAGAGCCCTGATTACCCTATTATTAGCCAACAACCAATAAAAAATATTTGCATATCTCTTGAACTTATAACAGCTTATGAAGAAGAAGAAAAATATTAATAAAGTTTTTGTTTCAAATAATAACTTTTTTATTGTTTCTTTTATTTTATTTCCATATTTTGTTCCTCCTCAACCTCTCCCCAACCTTAGTCGAAGACATGATTAAGGAAGTCGACGTTGACGGTGATGGTCGTATTGATTTTTATGAATTTGTTCATGCCTTGGGCGAACCAGAAGACTCACAAGAAAACGATGAAGAGGAGGAGAATACCACATCACCATTGCCAACACCAAAATCGAATGTTTCCATAACATATGAATAAATTGTGAACCGGGGAGAATTTGGAAGTGACGGCAACGGAAACTTATTTGAATTCACTTGCAAATTCAAAAGAGTTGGAACGGCAACGAGATGAAAATGAAGTGTAAACCGAACAAACAAGGAAACACCATAAGAATAGTAAAAAAAAAACACAAAAACAATATCTAAGGAATAAAGTAATCAAAATTTAAATGAATATCAAAACTTTTTTTCTAACCTAAAACAAAAAACAGAATCCATTTAGCTGCAGTATAAGGAAAATTGAAAAAACAAAAATAATAGAAATGCAAAGACGTCAACGTCGAATAGAAACCATTTTTAAGGTAATACAACTAATGTGTGAACTTTTTTTTAAAAAGACTCTCTTCATAAGTAAAGGAAAAAAAAATAGATTTTTAAATAGAAAATTTTACAACAAAAATCCCTAACTTACATCTATCCTTATTTTTCCCATTTCTCTACATTTAATATTCGTAAGGGTGCACGGGTGCGTATCAGTGTTGTCGTTACGTATACGTTACAAACCAGCAAGATTAATTTTGCACCCTTTGGTATCTCAAATTGTCTTTTTTATGAAAATATCGATTTCATGGCATAGCAAATATTTATTACGCCTCTTTTAGAGGCTCATCTGCCAATAAAACTCTGAAGTTTCTACAGTTATCGATAATTGTTTTATTTTAAGGAAAAGCTGTTATCGACCAAAGTTCTTCATAAAAAAGTGTTGCTGTCGAAAAAGCAATATTTTCTATGTCCTGATTTATATTAGGCGAGTTTACTTGCGGCAATTTTTATCGTTCTCTTTTTAACTTGCTTTACCTTTATGTTATCAAGAAATTTGTAAAATATTTTTTTATTTGTTGTTTTTTCACATTTAAATATATATTAATATTGTTAAAAATATTATTATCGATAACATTTCTATATATAAAAAATATAATCGATAACTTTTTTTGCAAAAATTTATATTTAAATTCCTTTCTTATAGAAAAAAAATTTAATTAACAACTTTTCTAATATCGATAACATTTCTATATATAAAAAATCGATTATCGATTATAACTTTTCTATGCAAAAATTCATATTTAAATTCCTTTTTTATAGAAAAAATTTAATTAATAACTTGTCTATACAAAAATAATATCGATAACTTTTTTTACACAGAAAATTTATTGTCAATAATTTTTTTCCAGCAATTTTTTTTTTGCTAATTTTTTGTCGATAACTTTTCTATACCGAATATTTATTATCGATATTTTTTGAAGAAAATTTATTGTCGATATATAAATTTAATTTTGCTATACAGAAATGTTCTTATCGACAATATTTCAACACAGAAAATAATTATTATCGATAAATTTTGTGTACTGAATATTTATTATCGATAAATTTTCTATGGAAAACAATAATTACGATATTTTTTCTTTACAGAAAATTTATTATGTATAACTTTTCTATATATTTATATATACATATATATATATATATATATCGTTATCGATGACCTTTTCACAGAATATTTATTATCGATAATAACTTTTCTATAGAGAAAATTTATTATTTGTCAGCCATAGCATTTCTATACAACAAATGCAAGATCGATAACTTTCCTTTATGGAAAATGTATGCAATGTTATTATCGATAACTTTCCATACAGAAAATTTATTATATATAACACATTTCTATATGGATAATCTATTATAGATAACTTATATAAATAAAAATTATTATCGATATATTTTCAACACGGAAAGTATATTTTCGATAACTTTTGCAATGAAAAATTATTATCGATAACTTGTCTATACAGAAAAGTTTTTATCGATACATTTTTCATACAGAAAAGTTCTTATTGATAAATTTTCTATATAGTGGAATGTTATTTTCGATAACTCTTGTATACAAAAAATTCATTATCGATAATGTTTCTAAAAATTGAAGTTATTATTGATAGCTTTTCTACAGAGATAATTTTCTTATCGATAACTTCTCTATGGAGATAATTTATTATCGATAACTTTTCGATGACAATTTTGTATCGATAATTTTTTTTATTGGAAAAAGTTACTATCGATAAATTTTCCGTGGAGAACTTTTCTATACAGAAAAGTTATTATCGATAACTTTTCTATACAGAAAAGTTATTATCGATAACTTTTCTATACAGAAAAGTTATTATCGATAACTTTTCTATACAGAAAGGTTATTATCGATAACTTTTCTATACAGAAAAGTTATTATCGATAACTTTTCTATACAGAAAGATTATTATCGATAACTTTACTATACAGAAAAGTTATTATCGATAAAATGTCTATACAGAAATGCAATTATCGATAACTTTTCTATACAGAAAAGTTATTATCGATAAAATGTCTATACAGAAATGCAATTATCGATAACTTTTCTATACAGAATAGTTATTATCGATAACGTTTCTATACAGAAAGGTTATTATCGATAACTTGTCTATACAGAAAAGTTATTATCGATAACGTTTCTACACATAAAAGTTATTATCCATAAAGTTTCTATTCAGAAAAGTTGTTATCGATGACGTTTCTATTCTACAGAAAAGTCAATATTGATAACTTGATGACGAAAATAAATAATCGATAACTTTTCTATACAGAAATTATACTCAATTCATAACTTTTCTGCATGCAAAAGTTGCTATTGATAATTTTTCTATGAAGAAATATAGTTATCGACAATTTTTCTATAGATAAAACTTGTTATCGATAACTCTGCTACAGAGAAAACTTGTTATTGACAGTTTTACGATAGAGAATTTTTGAATTTTTCGTAAACTTTTATGTAAAAGAATTTTTATTATCGGTAACTGTTGTAGTATAAAAACACAACTTCTCTATACAGAAAATTTATTATCGATTATTTTTCTAAAAAAAGAAATTCTGTTATCGATAACTTTTCTATAATGAAAATTTGTTATCCCTATTTTTTATGTAGAAAATTTTTGTTATCGATAACTTTTCTATATAGAAAATTTATTATCGATTGCATATCTATAGAAAACATTTGGTTATCGATTACTCTTCTATAGTGCAATTTTGTTATCGATGACTATATTGTTATATTTTACAAAAAACTGCTTGTTATCGACAATATTTCGAATAGTTTTCTATAGAATCGTCATCTTTTCTGTACAAAAATATATTTTGTAGGAAACTTCTGACAATTCCGGTAACTTTTTGTTTTGATTAAATTTTCTAGTTACTCAAATCTCAAACTCTTTAAACATATCACTCCTTAGACTTTATTCCCTCTCATTGCACCTTTATGAAAAAAAAAACATATTACAATTTACACCAAATTAAAAATATTCTTCAAAAACAAAAAAAAAAAAAAATCTATAAATTTTTTATAACTTTTTGACCTTCATACATATCCTTGTATTATAAAACTAATAAAATAATATTAATAATAATTTATCTTAATAGTAACAATTAATAAAACAAAAAAAAAATAAATATTCAAAAAATCAAATTTTAAATTTACTTAAGATTATTAATAATAATAATTATGATATATAACTTATCGAAATATTTAGCTCCAAACTCCAAAAAAATATAATTGGCTTTTAAATACATATATATATATATATATATATATAAACATTTAAAATTTAAAATTAAATTAAAAAAAATAATTAATCTGTACTAAATTCGATATAATTAAATTTAATTGTAAAGAAAAAATAAAAAAATTAACTAATTAATATTTCACTTAATTTCAATAAAAATTCAAAATAAATAATGATTCATAAAAAGTAATAATTGTTTTTTTTATTTAGAAATTGATAAATGTCTATGAATAATACAGGTAAAGCAGATCGATTTATAAACATTATCGATAGTAATTGTGAAAGCTGATTGCAAGAACAGCTGTTGCGATTCATCAATTTAATTTTAACTACCTTGATTAAGGTAATTTTTTATCAGATTATAAACACAATAAAATGTTATCTTCAATTTGTTTACCATTGAGCGGAAATTCCCCTACATTTCAGATTAATTAATCTGTCAACAAAATAAGGGGAATTTCCCCTATGTCATCATATGTGAATGACACATGCAGTGTCATTAATTCGCAGTGATTACTTTTTAATGCTATGCGATAACGCATTACCGTAATTACAGTCATAGGGTACAGTAAAATAGGGCTCTATAGTGGTCTATATACACTTCAGTGTAAACCCTTCTGCCACATGATGAAACAGGAAAAATGTAAACAAAAAGGCCCCCCCCACCCCTTTTTTGTAACAACAACTGAATAGTTGTTTCTTTTTTTTTTTTTGAACTGCATTCATTGTCATCCTCCTCGGCATAGAGAGTAAATAAATTGTGGCGGAAAAATGTTTATCTGGCCCCTTTGGGTTTCTGGTATTTTGCATAGATTTGACTTGTTTTTCCAACATTTTCCGTTGTTGCTTTTGCTGACTTCTGTTTCATTGTTTTATGTCATGTCGTTCCATTTCCCCTTCCCCTTCTCCCTTTTCCCGTTGTAACATCATGACAAATGATAACAAAACCCCAAACATGGTCGGTCAGCATTTGTTTTGTTCAACGCCGGGTTTACCACCAGAGGCAGAGAGAGAGAGAGAGGCAGAGAGTGAGGGAGAGACCACAAAATAACAAACAAGAGAAACACATTCTGACATTGGAAGAAGATTCATGGTAATTTAATGCGGTCAAAAAAAAATTGAATTGGGTTATCGGGGACATGTTTTTTTTTGTTTTGATATTTCTTTAAACAGAAATTAGATAACAGCAAAAAAATAATACACAGTGAAAAACAATTTGTTTAAAGGCCAATAGCTGCTTGACGACGTAATATTTCAAAATGAGATCGATTAATTCTCTTGGAGAAAAAAACAACTGTTATCGGCTAATTTTCAAAAGTTGTTATCGATAATATTTCTTAATATAAACTTTATTATCGTTACATTTTGTATACCGACAAATTTATTATCGCGTAATTT